GGGCCCTGCATGAATGTTTAACCTGTGTGTGCCGCTTGCTTAGCTCTGTGATGATGGATAAATTACTTAAGCTTTTTACACTTTAGTTTCCTTATTTCTAAAATGGGGATAGTATAAAGATTAAATGAACTAATATATACAAAGCTCATGAAACCATGCCTGCAATTTAGTGAGCATTCAAGAAGTGATGGTTTTTATGATACTTTCCATGTTGGAAATAAAGTCTGCAATAACCTCCTAAATGTCTCATTTCACATCCTTAAAAACAAAAGCAAATCAAAACCTATACTATTTTTGAATATACGTTGCTTGATTCTTGAGAGTGAAATTATTTAAAAATGTGAACATACACAAGATGATTTTGCATTTGTAGAACTTAGAAGTAGATCATCAGTAACTGTGGATTTCAAATTTTTATCTGTGAATTTTTTCAAATAAATCCTACCCCAAACTCCAGGGAGGCCTCTGGCCTTGGCCACTCTGCCTCACCTTCTGCCCATTTCTCACCGGCCCTTGTGAAATCTACCGCTCAGGTTCATTGCACTCATTTCCCAGACAGGAGGTTCAAGGAGAGGTTACAACCCTCAGCACCGTGCCCGGGAAGGTCTCCTGGTCTGGGAATGTTTGGGTCCAAATCCCAGCTTCGTCACTTTGGCATGGAGACTTCGGGCAGTCAGTTAACTGCTGTCTGGCCTTAAAATTCATTATTCAGACAATTAGAATTTTTGCTTACATAATTTCAGAGGCCCATTCCTGCTGAAAAGTTACTTAATGCCAATAACAGAAGTATTAGGGCACACTTACCCACACCTCTGTTCCAGTGTTCTCTCCTTCACACAGGTGTAGGATTCCAGTCTACTTAGCAAACAGAGAATGCATGCCCTGTGACCTGTGGGGAACGTCTGTGGAACTCTCACGATAGCATTCCCACACACCCAGAGGGAGGTGCGTTTACTTTTTCACCTGTGGCAGTGTCCTGAGTACCGGCGCATGTGTTACCAGGATCCCAATTCTTAGTGTCTGCATTTCTGTATTTGACACGAACATTGATAATTAGGAAAACATGCCAATTGCTGAATCATGCATTTCTGGAGTATCATTTCTTATCCCCATGCATATATCACCACACCTTGATTAGCACAGTGAATAAAAACCAAGTTGTGTATCTAGGGTGTGTTGGTGAAGCTGGAAAGGACTGCCTTAAATAGATATTATATATTCACCTCCAGAAAAAGGCCCCCAGGCAGACAGAACTTCACACAAGACAAAGAATGGGTTGAACAGCCAAGATTCAGTCATCACCTCTGTGGAATCCTCCTTTGTACTCACTCTATTCATAACACTGTAGGTGTTTCTAATGCTTTCTGTGGATTGATCTTTTTTTAATTGAGCCTCATCAAAGAAATTCTACAGAGGTAGTTTCGCAAGTGGAAATTCACACTCAAAAAGTTTTCCTTTCCAACTCTTCTGCATAAAAAGCATTTGGGAGTACTTTTATGATATTATATTGAAATACTATATTTGATATGATAGGCATTTCCAATGTTATTTCTAGACTGGTGTCCTTTGTTATATTCCTGGAGTGTTCTCTGTAGTGGATGACCATCAATTTCAATTGTTAGAGCACTTAATTTTCTGTTTCCACTATCGTTTGTCCAGTGAAGACATGCAATATAAAGCATGCTGTTTTATGAGTGTAAGTTGGATGAGAAACAAATTGACAATAAATTTCATTTGAACTGCTTTACTTAGGCTACACTTGGTCATAGGAAGGACTGGGGAATTAACAAATTGGCTTTGGTAGTCACAGAGCTTTGATTAATTAATATACAATTGTGAATGAATAGTGCTACTTAGTCACCTTAGAATTTTAGCATAAAATTTAATAGGAAATGTGTTTTGGCTATTAAATCATTGTATTCAATATCTCCTGTTTTTTGAAGGTCAGAGCATAATATGTTTATTGTACAAAGGAATAAATGCTAATGCCAAGAGGCTTTGCCTACTCTCCCCACCACCACCACTATCACCACTGCGTCCCCCATCCTCCCTTGTTATCCTGGAAAGTGGGGCAGTAGATGACGGGACAGCAGGAACACAGGGTTTAATAAATAGAGAGGTGCTATCTTAACTCTTTACAAATATATGCTATCTTCTCAAAGCCTGTCCATTGAAGATGAATTCTCAATACTAGAGAAATCCAACTATGAGACAAGACAAGCAGAGTTGAGTGCACAAATATCAATATGAAATTTTGCATGTGTTTCTTTATCTCTTTTTTTTGGGGGGGGGGGGGATTTAGAACATGATTATAAGTTTGGAATTGATTAATTGATCACTTTCTCGCAGTGACTATTCCAAAACCAAGAAGCCTATTTAACTAGTTATCTCCAAACTGGAGTCAGTTCCTTCATTCAGCTGGCCCTGCACCAGATGTACATTTCCAGGGAGACAGAAATCATACAAACCATCTTCCTTCTGACTCTCACCTGCTCTACATCTACCTCCTCACATTGTATTTCTCCATAACTTCCGTCTACTTGCCCCCTAATGTGACTCCCCAGGCAAAGTAGATAAGCATCATGGTCAGCTATTCAGTGTGAACACTTCCCCAACATGTGTTCATCATCAAAGTCAGAGATGAAATCATGCCACGTCCCAGGCCAGCAACCTTCCACAGGTCACCCCTCATTGTCTGTGGGACGCACGACGGACACCTCCTCTGGGCATTTGGGAAGCAGAGCCAGCTCCCCGTCTGCATTTCTAGACTAATTACCACTCTGCATTGCCCTGCCTCTCCCTACACAGCCCAGCCAGACAGCTTGCTATTTCCCAAGTGAGCCTCCCATTCTGTGCCACTGTGCTTTGCCCTGTGTTCTCTCATTCTGGAGTTTTCTTCTTCCCCTGCCTCCCCAGATACTCACATGCTCACATTTGAGTACCTTTACGATGGGGCCCAGGTGGTGTTTTATTCCTAAGACCCGTCAAAAGCAATCCTTCCCTTACAGCATTTCATCTTGACTCTGCATGCATAAAGTACGAATGTGCACGTGCATCCCGTAAAGTGTCTAAATAGACACACAATGAACAGACAAAGAAGGGGGACTGCAAATCCTGCCGTGTGGACAGGGTTTAAGACTTAGAAAAGAATATATTTTTCCATGTTTCTTTTGTCTTGAACTTACCAACTCAACCCTTCTATTAAACTCTGTTGACTGAAAATTTTGTAATCAAATTCACATTATTTAGATGGCAAGCTTGGTGTAACAGAAAAAGCATGGGTTTTTGGAATTGGGCGAACCTGTTTGCATGCCTGCCATGTGTACCATTCATTTTCCCACGTACCCTGTTTGTGAACCTGCTCCGTCTGGGACTATGGAATGTAATGGGGGTGGTGACTATTGCTGTGTGCAGTGCTGTTTGCACTTTCAGTCATTCCAGGAAAAGACATTCCTGGGATAGGAAATGTGACAGATTGTTTTTTGTTTTGTTTTAAGAAAGAGAAGCTCTGTCCTCTCTTTGGGGTTGGAAATAAGTTGCTCTAAAAACCTCAATGAGGCCGAAACCGGTTTGGCTCAGTGGATAGAGCGTCGGCTTGTGGACTGAAAGGGCCCAGTTCGATTCCGGTCAAGGGCATGTACCTTGGTTGCGGGCACATCCCCAGTAGGGGATGTGCAAGAGGCAGCTGATCGATTATTCTCTCTCATCGATGTTTCTAACTCTCTATCCCTCTCTCTTCCTCTCTGTAAAAAATCAACAAAATATATTTTTTAAAAATAATAAATAAAAATAAAAGCCTCAGTGAGGAGAGGAGCTGTTGAATGCTCGAAGGGCGCCCTTCTCGGAGCAGGTGAAGCTGGAAGGAGCCAGCCACAGGGAATGAGTGGACCTTGCTCTCCTAACGGGGCTGTTTTCAGGGCAGCCAGGATCCAGGGTAGCGGTTATGAAATCCTCAAGAAGGGATATTAGTTAGTACACTTTTGCTTATAAATAACAGAAAACGAAAATAAAAATGCATTTAAACATAACGGAGAACTTCTGGCTTATATAACTGGAAAGTTCGGCAGTCGAGTGCTTTTGGTGATGGCTTAGGACTTTAGTTCTATTTCCTTACAATTCCTGTCACTGCGTTTCTCCGTGTGTCACTTGGATTCAGGCTGGGCTTTCTGGTAACAACCAGAGTTTCTTGCTTCTCTCAAATCCAGGAAAATGACCATTGTTTGCTTATAGCTAATTACCCAAGGTCCTGGATGCACTCTGACTGGATTACCTAAGAGCCAGCCCTTATGCCAAGGGAACATAAGGATCTGACTGCTTTAGGCCTTGGTTATTTGAGCCAGTTGCTCAGGAAGAGAAGATGGGCTCACCCTCACTGACTTAGTATCTAAGTATTAGACACATCAAAGCCCAGCAGGGAGGTGGAAGTGGAATTGCTTCCATAAAAACGCAAACCTCACTGCGAACTAACCGGGAGGGGAGAACAGGTGAGATGAAAGGACACCACACCGCCTTTATGACAGGAGCTTAATAAGGGCTCTGTCCCCTCTCCACAGCCAGAGTGGGGTCATGGTCAGCAACTGCGGCTCACGAGCCACATGTGGCTCTTTGGCCCCTTGAGTGTGGCTCTTCCACAAAATACCACGGGCGGGGCGAGTCTATTTTGAAGAACTGGTGTTAGAAGAAGTTTATGTTTAAAAAATGTGGCTCTCAAAAGAAATTTCAGTCATTGTACTGTTGCTATTTGGCTCTGGTGACTAATGAGTTTGCCAACCACTGCCCTAGGGAAGCAGCTTTACCCAGGAAACTGGTGCAATCATGAAGGTCATCATCTCTAGTGACAGATTTTGACAGAAAGTTCAGCAGATCAAAGGGAAGAATTGGATTTTATTGAAGAACACATATTAGATAATGCCATGGGGAATTTCACAAATAAAATGGTATTTTGAGAGGAGTTCATCTCCATCGGGCAGGAAGCTAAGAATTTTTAATACATTCAATACCTGACTATTTAGTCAGAGGCACTGACAATTTTTTCCTCTTACATTGTCAAATAAAAGAATGACAACAGCCAACACAACTATAGCCATCCAGTGTGAATGCCCTTTCTTGAACTATAAATAATGGTCATTTAATAGAGTTGCATCTTATTGGTCATCTTGCATAATAAACATATCTCTCATTGGTTATTTCTTGATACCAAAAATCCTTATATACAAGGATGGGTACTTGATTTTTCTTTTTTTAATGTCATTTTGGAGCAAAAAAGGGTAGGTAAGCCCTGGCAAGCAAGCTCCATGGTTAGAGCACTAGCCTGGGAGCCAAAGAGTCACTATTTAGATTCCTCACCAAGGATATGAACTTCAGCTGCAGGTTTGATCCACAGGGCACATGTGGGAGACAAGCAGTGGATGTGTTTGGTCTCACATAGATGTTTCTCTGTCTCCCCTCCCCCACCCTGCCCTCTTTCCCTCCCTCCCATCCTCTTCCTCTCTCTCTCTCTAAAATAGGAAAGGAATGGAAAATAGTATTCTCAGGTGAGGATTTTTCTAAATGGGGAAATTATTAATATTATTTTTATAAGTCAATCAAAATTATACTTTTTCTTTGTCAGATCAACAATCTATTTTTTTATCTTTTTTTGGTGTGCCACAGAATTTTGGTCATTAGTTTCTGTGTGCCATGATGGAAAAGGTTGTAAATCACTGGCTTGTAATACTGTGTGTACACAGATGAGGAGTGGCTCAGTGGTTGAGCTTTTACCTATGAAATCGAGGTCCCAATTTGATTCTTGGTCAGAGAACTTGCCTGGGACTTGCAGGAGGCAGCCAATCAATGCTTGTTTCTCTTCATCGATGTTTCTATCTCTTTCTCCCTCTCCCTTCTTGGATGAAATCAATAAAAAAAATTTTAAAATAAAAGTAAATATAAACAAAGAGTGGCCCTGGGCAGGTAGGACAGTTGGTTGGAGCATCATCCTGAACACCAAGAGATTGTGTGCTTGATTCCCAGTCAGGGCACATACCTGGGTTGTGGGTTCAAGCCCCAATAAGGGTGCTTTTGGGAGGCAACCAATAAATGTTTCTCTCATATCGATGTTTCTCTCTCACACTCACCCTTCTTCTGTCTCTGAAATCAATAAAAACATATCCTCTGATGAGAATTAAAAAAATAAAGAATAAAGAAGAGCGACTTTATGCTGTAACCATTATGGACATACATGTAAAGTCTCCCAAAATGAAAGCAAAGATTTAATATAACTACACAACTATAAATGTTATCTTCTTACCCATCTTTATCTCTCTATCTCCATCTCTCCTCTCTCCTCCCTATTTTTGTCATGAACACACATATACATACTTATTAGTCTGTGTATCTGTGCATATATTCCATTAAGAGAAGGCAATTGAACCACAAAGTCCAGAGAGGTAAGCTATGAATAATGAATGATTCTCAGGGGAAAGTAACAAATGATACAGAGGCCAAAATTCCAGAATTGAAGAGAGATATATTTTTTATTTAAAAAAAAGATTGCTGATTATGATCCAACAATAATAAGAGACAAACACTGGGATATACCAAAGAGAAAATTTTCAAGCAAGCATCCTTTCTGGAAAAATAGAAAGAAAGGGTTTCCAATAAAGGATAATGAAACTGGGCAACTTCCTAATTTTCACCAGTTTCTACCTCCAGCAGACCAGTCTCTACTGAGATTTGTGATAACAAGAGTATGAATCCAAAATCTTAGATCTGAGCAAATGTCATTGAATGTGCAGGAAAAGTAAAGACACAGAGTTTAGTAAAGATATAAATTGCTTATCTAAAACAATAATGAAAGCATGACTCTAAGGTGATTCCAGATGAACAAGACATTAATAAATAAATGGTGATAAAAATGATTGTTGCCTGGCCAGCATGGCTCAGTAGTTAGAGCATTGGCCCTCAAACCAAATGGTTCCAGGTTCAATTTTGGTCAAGGCCACGCACTTGAGTTGTAGGCTCCCCACCCTGGTTGGGGTGCTCCAGGGAGGCAACCAATTGATGTGGCTATCTCACATTGATGTTTCTCTCTCACATTGATGTTTCTCTCTCTCCTCTCTTTTCTTCCTCGATCCCTTCCACTCTCTCTAAAAAAAGATGAATAAATCAATGGAAAAACTATCCTCCAGTGAGGATTAATAAAATAAAACAAAAAAAGGACAATTATTAAATAGTGAACTATTTAGTGATGTCTAGATAGTTATGGAAAATATAGGACTGCCGAAACTGGTTTGGCTCAGTGGATAGAACAACAGCCTGTGGACTGAAAGGTCCCAGGTTCAATTCCGGTCAAGGGCATGAACCTTGGTTGCGGGCACATCCCAGTAGGGTGTATGCAAAAGGCAGCTGATCGATGACTCTCATCAATGTTTCTAACTCTCTATCCCTCTCCCTTCCTATCTGTAAAAAATCAATAAAATATATTAAAACGAAAGAAAATATAGGACTAAATCTGTTAGGGCGGCTGAAGGAGGAACGCAAGAGGCCAAAAGGGGTAAAAAATTATGAATTTACTAGAGGCCCAGGGCATGAATTCATGCATAGATGGGCTCTAGCCAGACTGCCCCAATGGGGCCCATCAGGCTGGGCCAGTGAGGGAGAGGGGCCATGGGCAGTTGGCCAGCCAGCACCAGCTCTGATCGGGGTGTTGGGGGCTGATCAGGGGCTGGGCTGGCAAGGGTGCTGCCCATCTGGCCTACATCAGGCTGGTTGGCTGCCGTGGTGCATGTCCTAGCCACCGATGGTTCTAGTCCTTCCACTAGTCCAGTCACTGGGCTTTTATATATATAGATTAGGTCATTTGGATAGCAGGTGGGCTGAGCCCCAAAATGGCATCAGCACCCAAAAAAGGGGAGTCAGAGGTTTTTAAAGGACTCTAGGGGGCTTTTTCTGGGTGGAGAATCCTCCACCCAGGAAATTCTGGAGGGAAGAGATAATGATCTTAGCAAGTGGAATGTGGTCTGAGCACCTGGAATGTCCATTTTGAAGTGGCCTGAAGGTCAGTTACCAGGGGAGGGAGTATCGATTCAATTATTTGATCAGAACTAACAAAATCAATAATATGTTTCACCTAAAAACTAATAATATACAAAGCAAATGGTTACAGAAGGACTAAGAGAAAGTAAAACTGATGATAAATCCCTCTTCTTAGACCAAAAGGACCAATAAATATGTTTACTCTTTATATTGAGAGAGAATATAATTATACATTTTTGGAAAACACTTCTAAAAGAATTTTCTTTTATATACTAAAATTTATAGGCCAACCAAAATTGCAAAATGAATGAACATGAACAAAAAGAAATAATCTTGAATATTTTAAACTATGGATTGTTTTAAACTATGATATTAAGGAAGACTAATAGTATAAAATATGCATTATACTAGAGATGCACCTGAAATAAAACATCAAAAGTTTAAAAATAAAAAAAAAACTCCTAATATAAAAGGTACAAACTGATCATTAGATGACAAATAACCTAGGAAGGTGGATAAGAACAGGCTATTCATGTAAAGGAAATACAAATTGTCACTTAATGGGAAACGATGCTCATCCTCCAGCAGTCATGGAAATGCAAGTTTAAACGATAATGAGGCACAAATGGTGCTATGTGGGGATTGGTAAAAAAAAAAAAAAAAAAAATTTTGAAGGTTGATGACATCTGGTACTGGCAAGAATGAGATAAAACAGGTTCCTTTATTTGCAGGTGGAAGTGTGAATTGTTTTTAAAATAAATATACAATTTTCTCCAGCAAATCTCAGTTATGGGAACCAATTCTAAAGAAATACAAGCATCACTGTAAAAGAAGGTTATATGCATATATGTGCACACACACAGAGACACACTCCTTTCTTGACAGTAAGCCCTCACTTATGTTAGAGATAGGTTTCTGCAACTGCAGAGAAACAACCTACTAGGGAACTGATTTTTATCATAAGCACATTGAGAGAAACAAGTTCCTAGGGTGTCTCATCCATGTTATAATGAAAAGATGTTACACAAGCATCTGCTGTACTACCTTGATGGCTAAGTCACCTCTGGGTGGAAAGCTGCCTTTCAAAGACATTTAGATTTTTTTTTTTAACTATAGTTGTCTTTATTTATTTATTTAATATATTTTATTGATTTTTTACAGAAAGGAAGAGAGAGGGATAGAGAGTTAGAAACACCGATGAGAGAGAATCATTGATCAGCTGCCTCTTGCATGCCCCTCACTGGGATGTGCCAGTAACCAATGTACATACCCTTGACCGGAATCGAACCTGGGACCTTTCAGTCCGCAGGCTGACACTCTATCCATTAAGCCAAACCGGTTTTGGCGACATTTAGATTCTTAAGAAACCAGTCCTTGTGGCTTCAAGGCTAATCACAGGTACAGTAATTGGTAGCATGTTAATCTGTTGATTCCCTGCCTGTCTTTGTGAACAATCTTAGGAAGCAAGTCCTAAAAAAAGACTTTGTTTTCAAAGAGATAGGTGTGTTGATAATATATAAATAATATAGGATATGGTATACATTATAGTATGGATAGAGTTACTATATATAAATAATATAATATAATAAATTACATATGTATTATAATACATATTATACACATCTCATCTATATATATGTGTGTGTGTGTGTGTATGTGTGTGTGTGTGTATGTGTGTAGTGCTACTATAATTACTATAACCAAGAGGAAAATACACTGAGTGGCTGGACTATTATGACCACTGACATCTGTAAGCAAATTAGCCGGACATTGCATCGTATGGGATATGGAAGCCAAATGCCTGTTCAAACACCTTTGCTGTCTGCAGTTACCAAGATAAAACGTCTCCAATTCACACAGGAACACAAGGATTGGACAGTCCAGTATTGGAAAAAAGTCATGTGATCCGATGAATCACGTTTCCAGTTGCATCATGCCAATGGCAGAGTGAGGATTTTACGGAAACAGCATGAAAGCATTCATCCCACATGCATGAGTACAACCCTTCAAGCTGGTGGGGGCAGTGTTATGGTGTGGGG